TGCTAATATTATTTTTTTCAAATCGATCGCTTGGAACCTTCTTTCACAGATTCCGTATTCCGTTTCCGTTTCCGTTTCCGTGATTCCGTTTCCGTTTCCGGATTCCGGATTCCGTGTTTTAGTGCTGCCGTCAAAGATTATTTTGGTCAAAGTTTTGACGGAAGTGTGTTCTCTAAAGAATATAGCATCCTGAAACCGGCGAAAAATCGCATTGGCATGGTCTGATTCAGTGTTATTGACGTTGAGATCGCTGGTATGCGTGTGGAAGACATGCCGAAAAGGTGGGTAATTTTTACTCTTTTTGTTTACTGCATGTTCCGTGCAACTCGGTACTAAAAGAAATTATAAAGTAGTGGAAGAAAAATTATTGGGCTTTGTTTTGGTATATAAATTAGCTTGTACCGAGTTGCACCGAAGCGACAGTTTTGTTAAATGTGTATCCCGTTTTTGTGTCAAAATTCGACTTTGATTGTGAATCTAACGTTCGACAGCATTCGACTGTTGATCGAAGAGCGTATTTATACAACGCTATCCAAATTTTTTTGTTGTTTAGTTCAAGTTTCTTATCACGGATTCAACAAAGAAAGTAGAGGGACAGACATTGTTGGGCTTTGTTTTGTTAATATGACTTACCTTGTACTTTGTTGCTGAAAAAACTGTATTTAGATGCTAAATCTCCGTGTGTTTACACTGTTTATGGCAGAAAAATAAGCTTACGCTTGGTTCAACTTAATCTCGTGTCACTCGGTACAAAAGGAAATGTGGTTTAGGATTATCCACACAACGAGTTACTTGTTACTTTAGGAACCGCAGTTACAAACATGATTTCCTCCGTGTACAATTTTTCGGTACTAAATTTTTGCACACAAGGCATTCCGTGGGGGTGTTTCTTTGCTTGAAAATTGGATCCTGGAAGGAGATGAACAGGGTAACTTTCCTGTGAATGCTTTTGTTTTTCTGTCCATCGTTTTTTTTTAGCAAAGTTATGAATGAATGATATATTATGTATTCAAAAGTTCTTTTCAAGAAAAAAAAAATAATCATCACAAATTAAACTTACAGGAGTTTAAAGTTTGGAGTAAACTTTGAGTCTTATTGAAATTTTAGTTGGGTCATGTTGATGAATGCAGCTGTGTAGGATATGCAGTTTCCAATTTTGATCTTCTGCCAGAATTATAAGACAACACTCAAATACAGATCAGTAGTATAGGGCACACCGAATTATCCTTATTTTTGAGCAGGAATCTCATAAGCGTGAGCAGGAATACATTAATGCCGATGACGTCATAGGCTTTCCCCTCCTCCTCCTCCTCATTTTTATTGTTTTCCCTCCTCCTCCTCCTCCTCCTCCTCCTCCTCCTCCTCCTCATTTTTGTTTTCTCTCCTCCTCCTCCTCCTCAAAAGGCTAAAATCAGACCATCACATTTGAGTCTGGCCATATAGGCCTGATTTTAGCCTCTTGAGGGGGAGGAGGAGGAGGAGGAGGAGAGAAAACAAAAATGAGGAGGAGGGAAAACAATAAAAATGAGGAGGAGGAGGAGGAGGAGGGAAAACAATAAAAATGAGGAGGAGGAGGTGGAGGAGGAGGAGGAGGAAGGAAAACAATAAAAATGAGGAGGAGGAGGAGGAAAAACAATAAAAATGAGGAGGCGGAGGGAAAATAATAAAAATTGTGGAGGAGAGAATAAAAACATTGAGGAGGGAAAATAATAAAATTGTGGAGAAGGGATTGAGGAGAGAGATAAAATTGAAAAGGGAGAGGGGTAAGTAAAATATTGTATTTCGTGCTAAAAAGAGCTAGTTTGTCTTTGCCCTCATTTATATGCATGATTTGCCCGCCAAAAGTCAGTGAACCGGAACTAGGACAATCACAGCAGCAGGAAATAGGACTTGCATAATTACATTACGCCTCCGTGATTTTAAGTCACAGACAAGTTTAGAATGCTTCGTCAAACGAGACAGCCAATGAGCGTCTTTCAAATTTCGGTCAACCAATCAAAACAACTATGACATCATAGTACCCCGGAATACATATGACATCATCTTCCGAAAATAACTAAAACCGGTCAAACCAGTATACTTAATTAAATCCACCACATTTTATTCATGAGATGAGGACAATAGCCTATGACGTCATCGGAGTTAATGTATTCCTGCTCACGCTTATGAGATTCCTGCTCAAAAATAAGGATAATTCGGTGCGCCCTTTACTACTCAGATCTCATTCAAACTTTATAGTTTCATTGTAATTATCGTTTGTTTCTATTCCTGCAACGTATCATCAGGTCTACATTTTGCATGAATTTAATGTGATATATATTTGAAGGAGTTGTTGTTCCACAGTGAAGTAGTTTTCACTTTGTTTTTTTGATATGAAGTTGAGTTTCTTCTTAGTGGTTGGCTAAGGCAATGTTGAAGTATCTGACATGTTAACATACTTTATTGTTCATTTCTCTTCAGAAAAGATTGATTGATCCTGAATCAAACAAAGTGCAGCCTCACAAACAAGATTTTTGACGAACAAATGTGTACTCAAGCAAAGCATATGTCCCTGACAGTGTCAATAAAATTTATTAATGGGAAGATCTGGGTTTTTACTCCTTTGTAGAACTTTTGACTACGCATCACTTTTCTAAGCTATGCACTAAAAAGATATAATCAGTATTTTTTCCTAATAAAATATTGCAATCAAAGTTCTCTTCTTTTATATATAGTATTCTCCTAATTTTAAAAATTTCATTGTGTTATTCAGATACACAGTAACCACTGAAAAGAAAAAAAAACCTGCTCGGTCAGATATAGACGGCTCTAAAGGTTTCATGTTAAAAGTGCACCCATTCACAATGAAAAGGACATGAATGCAGACACTACAGTTCATTTAGCTCATGTTCAAGCTTTTTTTTATATAAATTAGAAAGTCGCGATCTTGCTGGATAAAACATAATTTTGCTTTATCTTTTCGGTAAAAAAATAAATAATAAAATAACTTCCAGGTGTCTAAGCAATTTCAAAGGACCCATAGTGTCTTATTTCTCCGTTGCATTGAGCTGTGAACAAAGGCCGTTCTTTCTAGTGGCCCGGCGTTTATCAGGTTGTTGTCCTTCGTGATCGTGAGGAGTGATCGCTTAAACAAGTCCAAAGTTGAATACGGTAAACCGGCCAAAACGCGAGCATCGCAGGGAACGAATCCCATAGGAATAGGTGGAAAAGGATAATAAAAAGTCTAGGCTATTCTAAAAAATATCCGTATATGCATTAACAACTCATATTAAGCCGCAATTAATCTTCTTTCCGCCGGAATAAACAAACGATGGAGGTATTGTCGCATTTTGAATTTGGCAATGTCACGTGGTCGCGCGTCGACCAATCAGACGTTTTTCGCTGGTGAAGTATTACCTTAACACAAAACTTGCTGATAATGCAAAATCCCGAGGCCGAGCATCGTACATGTACTGCGTGACAATATACACATTTACATGAAAAGTACAACGCGCAATACAAAAACAAGTACATTAACAGTCACTCTGCTTAACAAAATTGAAAGAATAAGAATCGTTATAGCCTGCGCGCAGACACTTTAAACCTTGTTTGTAGACTATATACGGACTATATACGCGATACGTGGGCCGGCTGCACAAGGCGCAGGCTAGAATTGTTACCACTATAGTTCCCAAAGAAGCCTGAGCCCTTTTGGTTTCGATTGTTGACAATCTTCTCTTCCTTCATTGGAAGAGATTTTTATCACAGGCAACTCCTTGTGTTTTGCGTTGTGAAAATCAAAATCAGTACAGTCACACTGATTACCAGGTACACAAATCTTGCGACTCTCAAACTTGATACACATTTTTCCTGGTTCAAACTCTTATGGATTTTACACGTACATTCCTGACATTCCGATTCGTCATTGCGTCTATGAGGTCCATGGTCTTTGAAAGTCTTGACAATTTCCTTTGTTTTTCTTTGAGTTCGCGGACCAGCATATTATAACATACTTCAACAAAACGTTCCTCGAAACACCGTTGCCAAATTTTATCCAAACTGCTTCTTACTGCTGCTTTGAAAAATTTCGGATCAAACGATATCATTGTATTACCACCATCCTTGAAGCGCGACGAATTCTGCGCGTAGTTTCAAATTTCAACCTGTCAATTTTGGCCAATGAAACGTCGGTTAGTCTCTGTCGTGAAACTGACACGTTTTTGAGGCCGTACGAACATGTTTTGATCACGTTCTGTCTAAGTTTTCAGGTTTTTCGTTGGAGCGTATTCTATTTTTAAACTCTGCATGTGTCAATATGGTGATGCAAATTCAGGTTCAAATTGGAGTTACTAGAAGAGTTTTTTTTATGAATCCGCCTGGGAGTGTCGAGGATTTAAAAAACTAAATTTTGCGTGAGATTCCGAAGACACGTTCTATGGGTTTTGGTTAACTTTACGAAAACGATAAAGGAGAATATGTAGTGTTGAATGACGTTCGCATGGCAGACATTCGCCTCGCTTGGCTTGTTTACCCACTTGTTTACGTTAGCACGTATTGCGTGGCTATTGCATTTTTGCCTCAAAGCAAGCCGTTTCGACTACTCTATTTGGGCCACGCCCAAATAACAAGTGATGGAAGGTAAAACTCGGTACACATAAAGGAGACAATAAGTAAATTTCTTGGCCAATTACTGGGACATTAAACTTGATAACTATAGTACACCCCTACAATCGTGCTTTCTATATTTTCAGCTGTACATTAGTCTTTCTTAGCCAATGTTAGACCTGATTCCCCTTTACAATCCAAACAACCCTAAGATAAGTTCAACTGAGCGCACGAGTGTTTATAGCTCCCGGTCAATCAGAGCTTACAAGCAATGAAAGGTCTTTGGCAGACATTCCAGTTTGCATGAAAATCCATGCAGTCTTATTACCTTAACCGTCTGATGGGTCCTGTTTAATGTAACGGACTAGGTAATGCAGACTCTGGTGTGCCTTTAAGAAGATGTCTTGGTGGTATCTCTGCAGCAATGAAGCTTCACGCGCCCGACTGAGTAGCTGTAAGGTGTCGACTGTGTCGGGGTGATGTTCACCTAGCAATTCATCTCTCAGTTGCCATACCTTCTGTAAAGATTCCACGGCGCTGTTGATATCTTCAATGTCATACTGAACCGAACCAAGCAAGTGGTAGGTGGACGCCGTGTTTTTTTGATTGCCAGGCAGATTTGATCTCATATGCGCTGCTGTCTTTAGAAACCATAAAGCTTTCACGTGGTCTCCCATCAAGTACTGCACTGCACCAACGTTGTGATAACTGTCTGCCGTGTCTTCGTGATCACCAAGAAGGTCAGATCTTATAATTGCAGCTTTCTCTAGAGTCCCCAAAGCTCCAAGGATGTCTTCTCCCATATGACGCTGTACTACTCCAAGCCAGTGGTAACTGCTCGCGGTGTCTTTGTGGTGCCCAAGTTTTTTTGATCTCATATCTACGGCTTTCGTTAAGGACTCCAAAGCGCCATGAAAGTCTCTGATGTCATGCTGCACTATTCCTAGCCAGTGGTAACTGCTTGCGGTGTCTATATGACTATCAAGCTTTTTTGACCTCATGTCTGCGGCTTTCCTTAGGGAAGCCAAGGCTTCGGGGAGGTCTCCCATGTCACGCTGCACTACACCAAGCCAGTGGTAACTGCTCGCAGTGTCTACATGACTACCAAGTTGTATGGACCTTATGTCTGCTGCTTTCTGTAGGGAATTCAACGCTCCGTGTTGGTCTCCCACTTCACTTTGCAATACACCAAGGTTGTGGTAGCTGCAAGCGGTGTCTTTGTGGTAACCAAGCAGTTTTGTTCGCATTTCTGCAGCTACTTCAAGACTCTGAATTGCTGACGCATTTTCACCCATTTTAAAATGGATACATCCCAGAAGATTGAAGCTGTCAGCTGTGTCCACATCCTCTCCTAACAGGTCAAGCCTCATATCAAAAGCCTGCTCACAAAACTGAAGAGCTTCTGGGTAGCTTTGTAGTTTAAAATAAACGCGCCCTGCCTCGTTTAAAGCCTTGGCTGTTAGTGGGTGTTGTCCTAAATGCTCCTTTCTAATCTTAACAGCCTTGAGGAGCGCATTAAGTGCTTCCTCGTAGTTAGCAAGGGTTGATTGGTTTTCTCCGATTGAAGCATAAATGTATGCTGTGTCCTCGTGATCATAAACTCCCAGCTGTTTCCTCAAATCTAAGGCACTCTCTAATGCTATACCAGCTTCGATTGCCTTATTCAAATCAAGGTAACTACACCCTATGTCTGTCAGACTTGCCACTGTGTCGATATGATTTCCAAAGTGTTTCTGCCTTATTCTTATTGCTTCTTCATGAGACTCTATTGCTGCACTGCTGTCAATGAACAGCTTCTTCAACTTGCCTAGACTGTCATAACCTCTTGCAAGTTCTAAAAGATCTGTACCGGGGACCCTTTTGCTTGAATGTTTTAAAACATCGTCAAAGGTATCATTGAAATACTTGACAACATTTTCAAAAAATGTATCACTTTTGACTGATGATGGGAAATCCGGAAAAAGTTCAAGGCAGTGCAAAATTATTTCTATGAACTGCTTGGTTGCGACGTAGCTCTCCACTAAATTGACGCCACTCTGTGAAATTTGTTCTGTGAATTCTAGAAAATGAAGACGTAGGGACTCAAGCTGAGTTTGTGTCGCACTTTCAAAAGTAAACCAATTCAGCTGAGATAACAGAGTTAATGAGGGTTCTAAGGATTCCTTAAAAAAGGCAGTGAAGATTCTTATCTCATATGGTACGTCTGATGTATTCGTATTCCGCACCTGGTTTTCACAGATTGCAGGAAGGAGTTTGTTGACGGCAAACGAAAGTTCTCTGTACCTTTCTTCGGTTTGAATTTCGTACGTGTTGGTGACAAGTAATAAATTTCCAGAAACATTTAGAAAGAAAAGATCCTCGTGTTCCAAAAAAGCGTCTACAATATTTTCTCCGCTATCTGTCACAATTCTTGAATATCTGGATTTCCAGTAAATTTCGCTTTGATCTCGGAGTTTTCTGAATTGTGGAGCATCCTTTTCTTCTAAATTGAGAAAAACTCTAAGCATGAGGAATATAAGGTGCTTAAGCACAATTTCATCAATACAGCAGCAATTTAGTCTATCTACAGCGCTGAAAAGGGACACAATGCCCTCTTCACGATTTCCACAGAGTAGCTGGTGAATGCTTTGGTAACAAAGGAGTTTTGCTGGACAATACGCCTTGTTGGAGTAATTAGCAGAGAGGAAATCTTCCCAGGTTTGACAATCCAAAGAGAACCAGCCCCAATGGCGAAATGACTTTGCGGCCAGCAACATCAATTCATCTTCAACAATTTGCCTTCGTTTTGCTTCTAATAAGGCTGTGTCATAAAGCCGCTGAAACATTACTTCTTCATTTCGCAATACAGCGTAAAGAAATAGTTCTGCCGTAGACAATACCTTTACAACCCTGGGGTAGAGATCGTCGTCTTTTATGCCATTATTAATAGATAAGAGGATGTTCTCTCGCCGCCCTAAAAAAACTGACAACGATTCATTGGAAGGACCCATTAAAAATTTTTCATTAGCATTTTCAAGACTAGAGATGTTATAGTCGTAAAAGTGCTGCTGTGCCGAGAGGAATATTGCCTCTATTGTTTCGTCGTTCCTTCTCTGCTCATCGACAAAGGACCGGAAAAGTGAATGGACTGTGAAACAGCTAAAACTTTCCCCACAGTCGATCAAGGAATTTCGCTCGAGGGAATGAATTACTTTCTTGGTTGTTCGTTCCGTCTTGACATCCAACACTGCCGTAGCTTCCTTTGTGTCAAACCAACCAGGAAAAACAGTAAGAGACACAAAAGCTTTTCTCTCACGAATCGGAAGTCTTTGAAACGATTTGTTAATAAGTAGTTTTAAACTGGCGTCACTAGGAAAACATTCGTTGTCCAAAACTTCGAGGATTGTTGAATTCCTCAAGTCTTCTGAGAGCTCACGCACGGAAGTATGCTCTTCTTTAATGATGTTGCACATTAATCGCACGGCCAGGGGAACCTGTCCACATTCCTTTACTATGCATTTGCAGTCATCTTCAGTTACATCTGGTAACAGCACTTTTATTAGACTTGCCGACGAAATTTCATCCAACACATTAATTTTTACTAGATGTAGGGAAAGCGTAAGATCCAAGAAGTCTAGGGATGCTCGAGTGGTAAGGAGAAGCTTGATGTGAGAGCATTGTGCAAGAATTTCCTTAATAAATTGGAGCACATCTTCTTTTCGTTTGTCATCTTCAGATTCAAGTAAATCATCAGCATTGTCAAAGATTAAGACAAAACGACTTTGTACTCGCTGTAAGCACTTAATAAGC